TTAATCCTAGTAAAGTGTTTGTTCCCATTTACAATATAAATTTTTCGTGAACACTTCATTTGCTTACCTATATTATTGTACCTAAATGGAAATAGACACTTCAGCGGGGTCATTCAAAATTTGAAAAAAAAATAAAGGTGTTTGAAAAAGTGGTCCTTATTTCGTTTTGAGTAGTTTAAAAACAATTTATCGTTATTATATTATAGCAAATTTTGGCATTGGCACTGAGAAATTATAATTATTAAGATAACAATAATAAACGTTTTATTCGATTGGACTAATAGGTACCACCATTCATGCCTTTTTAAAGCATATTATACCTACGTTAATTCCGCGAGTTGGGCGAGCGGATGGGCACTGATGTTCCTCGCCACCTCGACCGTCGTACAATACGACCTGATGCGATTTTTCTGGCGCCTCCGTCATATTCAAATAAGATCCATACACAGAAATTAGGTCCGGCTGGCGGGGATTCGAGATCGCCACCTCCTTCCATCCTTGTCGCTCGTCGCAAAGCAGCGTAGCGCTGTCGTGCGGCATTTTTCACATTTGTAAGTAGAGGTGTTAATTTCCAATAAATGGCAGTTATACCTATTCTTTAAAAAGTAATTTTTGATTTGAATTATTGAACAACTTTTTCAAAGATTGGCAACAAATTTTAAATTAATCAGTAGGTTGGGTGGTTGGGGATGGAAGGGTATAATATTCATTGACAACTAGAAAATATTAAAGCGAAAATAAAAAGGTTAATTTTTTATTAAACTACCTATACCTAGTATATGGAATGGAATAGGCCTGCAGGATTTCCACAACTACACCGCTGATAACTTGCTCACAGCATTGCTCCAGGCTCCGCCAGTTTACGTTTGAAGTTTTGGAGTTTGAACTTGTTTTGTTTGACCGTATAGCGTAAAGTTAACCGATAATCTTTAACTTCTACTTTTGCTTTTTTTAGTAGTGCAGTGTGCAGGTAGAACTGGTAAAAGTTAATTTTTAGTGAATATAAATCATGAAGCCGTGTCACGATATCGTTTGTAGCCTGTTAGAAACGCCGTTTTCACGTCGAAATGAAATAGAGCGACGCCAAATTGTAGATGCGGGTCGGCCAATTTCAAATATATTGATATCATCTGACGATAAGAAAGGTTCCAAAAAATTTTGTAGAACCTTCCAGTCTTCAACTTTTGATTTAAAAAAATGGCTTTGTGGTAGCCACTATTTGCATCAATTGTACTGTTGGCCATGTATATTATTTTCAAACAACAGGGTAGGTGTTTGGGTATCCAGCGGGTATAGCGATATCAAACATTTATCAGAGGCATCGAAAAAACATGAGGGGTCAAAAGATCACATGAAAAATTTTGCGGCTCTAAAAAATTTTGAAAGAAACTCTACTATTAAGGATGCAATTATTGGAGCGACGTTGATTTCCAAGCAGGTCTATAATGAGAATGTCCGAAAAAATAGAAAATTACTGACGTATTTAATAGATACCACCGTATTTTTAGCAAAGCAAGAACTAGCTTTTAGAGGACATGACGAGAGCGAAGACTCTTTAAATTTAGGGAATTTCAGGGAATTGTTCAATATACTAATAAAAAATGACGTTGAAATATTGGAGCACATCAAAAAAATTGATAATGTTTTCAAAGGAGTTTCAAAAACCGTACAGAATGAATTAATTACTTGCATTTCTGAGTATTTAAAGGAGACCATTAGTGACGAAATAAAGTCGGCAAAATTTTTTGGTGTGCAAGTTGACGATACCACTGATATTGTAGAGAAATCACAATGTGCTATTTCCGTTCGATATGTTTCAAATCAGGGTTGGGTAAGAGAAAGGTTTCTGGGATTTTATGACGTTAGCGAAGATAGAGCCGCTAATGCTATGTATGCATTGCTGTCGTCAGTACTGCAGCCATATGATTTCAAAAATAAATTGGTAGCACAGTGTTACGACGGTGCGAGTGTTATGGCAGGCTCTCTCAACGGACTTCAAGCTAAAGTCAAACAAGAAGCACCCAACGCCCTTTTCACCCATTGTTGTGCTCACAGGCTCAATTTGGTTTTACAAAATGGGTCTAAATGTATAAAAAAATGTCGAATTTATTTTCAGACACTTACTTCAATACCTTCTTTCTTTAATACTTCGGCAAAAAGAACATTTGCGTTGCACTCAGTAACCAGCACAAGAATACCTAGGTCGTGCGAGACCCGTTGGTCATCCCGATCTAAAACTGTTAACGTGGTATATTCGGAGTGGGAAAATTTAAAAATTGTGTTTAAAAACATTTCGGACGATCCAACCTCAGGTGCAGAATCCGCGAACGGGGCCAGGGGATATTCAAGAAATTTAAACTCCCTGGAATTCGCTTTTTTAACAAGTGTATACAATGAATTTTTCAATATAACGGACATACTTTTTAATATTTTACAAAAGAAAACATTGGACATAAATTACTGTCAAAAACAAATTCAGCTAGCTCTAAACCGAATTCGAGCTTTACGTAATGATGGAGAATTTGAAAAACTTTTTAATTTTGCTAACGAAAGAGTGTGTAAAAGTGAATCACCTGGACCCGCTAGAAGAGTAAGACACGAAATTGATAATAATGAAAACATTTCATTCCGGGCTTTATATTTTGAAATATTGGATAACATAATTAACCAAATAGAGATTCGTTTTGCAGACTTGAAAGACCTTAGATTTTTTTCACTTGTTGACTCTTCAAAATTTAAAATTTTTGAAAAAGATTTCCCCGTTGAGCTTCTAAACAATTTATTTACCCAATACCCTAACGTATTTTTAGATAAACAGAAACTAAAAAATGAACTAAGTGTGATTTATGCCGATACAGATTATAGCAATTTACAGCTACACGAAATTTTAAAACATTTTATAGATAATGATTTTTGCGAAATATTTCCTGAATCATACACCTTGTGTGTCTTGGTAGCTTCCATACCAGCAACTTCTGTCTCGGTTGAACGCAATTTTTCAGCTTTAAAACGTATTCTTTCGTTTACCAGAAATTCTATGTTACAAAACCGATTAACGTCACTGTCTTTAATTTCAATTGAAAAGGAACTACTGCACACTTTATATCAAAACAATGAACAATTCATAAATTCCATTATTCATAAATTTGCTTTATTAAAAGACAGAAGAATTAATTTGACATACAAGCAGTGAAGAGTTAATATGCCAATTGCCATCAATTCGCTATTTTCTTATTTTTATAGGTAAATCTTTTTAGCGTTAAATTTTTGCTTGCTGGTGTAAATAGTTGTTTAGAGTTCTATTTTTATTTTTCTTACCTATAATCATAGGCATTATTTGAGTTTTGATTTGTATTATTTTATCTTATGTTTTTAAATGAACTTAATTTAATTTACTTTGTTATTTGTTTTTAAATACCCTCTCGCCTCCCACCCCTAGCTATCCATTTTGCCTTATTCTTATCCTATTCCTTCCTGGCAAAAGTAACCCCAGACCCCCACGTGGTTCTTGCTGGAACAATATTTTGTTAAAATTGCATATTAGGTAAGTATTTTTAAATCAAATTTTTAAATATTTCACAAATTACATTGGCGAAAATAGGGCTCCATTTTCTGCAATAGGAAAAATACAAAAAGCCTTATAAGTCCGAGGGTAAATACTTATTTTTAAGAAAAGAAATTATCCAACAAAACTCAAAAAACTCATATTTTAACGATATTTTTTTACCCCTAAAATTTTCTTCTCTTCATCTAAGATCGTGACCTTGAAAGCGCTATTTTGTTTTATTGCCCACCCTTATTTAAACACCACGAGCCGCCACTGCTTGAAGGTGACAAGCTCGCCTGGCGGCTCGCTAGTCATTTCCTTCAATCGCCAGTAAAAACTGTTTTACCTGGCTAATAATGTAAAATACTATAACAAAGCTATAGGTTGTTTTCACTTTTCACGATCTCCGAGTTTTCCGGACATTGTTCCGAATTCCGGCCGGACTTCCCCGGACACCCTAAAAACCCAAACATGTCCGGGTAAATCCGGACGTATGGAAACCCTACTTATATACGTCCTTGAACTTAACCATAATTAAATACTTACATTAGAGCATTTTTCAAGTAATATTCTGCTAACTTCATTTAAAGCTGGCAGAACATGTCGTTTTTTAGGAAAAAAAGGAGCATTACGTTTTCAATTAGTGCATTTAATTAGCATTTATTCAGCATATAAGTATGGTATAATTGCATTTGTGTTCTCATTCCGCATACGAATTTCGTGCCAAACTACATTCCGTATATAAGTCAGAATAAAAATACTATACATAATATCCGTTCACAATCCGATGTCCACTGGTACCGGTAAAGTTTATCACCTTTCAATGTTATTTGATAGGGAAAGGTGAAAATGTACCTGCACCTGTGGACATTGAATTGTGAACAGGATATATGTATATACACACCTCAGCCAACTTATTAAAATCACACAACAAATTAAAAATGAAATAAAAATACCTAATTATTTTCTTAACATGTGTATGCCCGAAGTGATACTTGCGGGAAAGAGACTTTACGCACGTGCTAGAGGACTAATATATTTGCTACGAACGTTCTCACCTTTGAATGCAGGTACGCATATTTTTATTTTAACGTAAAACAGATATAGATTTGATAAATTTGAATGAGTGCGGGAATGGGCTACTTTGCGCACGTAAATGAATGCGCACAGCACAAGTAAATGCTTGCTTTAATTTTATTTTGTGAGGTTGCTTTGGAAACTCTTTTTGACGTGTTTCAATTTCAGACTTACAGCGTTGCCATGATGAATCCGCATTAAAGTTAGTTTAGCAAAAGAAGAAATACGGCCAGCGCAAATCATTGAAAGTTGGGACGGCAGTGAAATAATTATTGGTGTCTCAAAATTTAAAATGATAATGATGGCTAAATGTAAGTACATATTATTTCCAAAATTCTTAACATCTGCCTAAATATCTCCTAGTTTTGTTACTCACCAACATATCTGCGCTTCCTGAAGAAGGTCGATATCATTGAATCTGGTACTATTCTCCATTTTTTTGAGTATATTATTATAATATCTAAATAAATTAATCAAATATTTGAGGCACAAATTAAATTTGACGTCGGCCTTTTGAATTTTCAATTTGACAAGTGTGAAGTGTGGTGTTGTTTTTGTACACAGTGGTTACAGTGACTCAATAAGCTTTATAATTTTAAATAGGAATCTAGCAAAAAGCCACGATCCCGCCGCCATATTCTTGCTCATTTTCAATATGAATATATAGAATTTTAGAGAAACCAATCAAAAATAGGCCGGCAATTACTGCCACTGTAGTTTATTGAGTCACTGTAACAGTGATTTTGCTCTAGCGCCCTCTATTAGATAGTAGGTGCACTAAACATTAGGTGCGTCGTACAGTGCAGCGCGGCGGATTTGAATTCTAGCGGGACAAAGCCGTATATTTTAGAAACAATTTTCAAATTTCTTTTTGTTGAGATTTTATGTCCTACTGGTCCTTTGGGATCCCCCAACTTCAAAACACTTAATTATTCTGAGATTTGGAGCCAGATTCTATGAAAAAAGGCACTCAGAAAAATCGAAAAATTTATAAATTACCCCAAATTGCTTATCACAATTTTATTTCTGGAACTATAAGTCTAAATGAGCTGTAATTTTCAGGGATTGTAGTCCTCTACTGGGATAAGAATGGCTGAAAATTTCAAATTTCAATCTTCAATAGAAAAAAAGTTATGACCTTTCAAAGTTTTCCAAAATATAAATCATAAGGGAGCTACCCTCTTACTAAAAGGATGAAATTTCGAATTTCATATGTCAAGATTTTGCATCCTAATAATCCTTTGGGATCCCTCAAACTCCATACACTAAATTATTCTGAGATTTAGAACCAGATTCTATGAAAAAAGGAAATCAGAAAAATTTACAAAATTGATCTAAATCATAAGGGCATAATTAAAGTAAATAAAGTTTGGTAAAAATCACTTTTCAGAGCAGAAACATCGACCAATCATACTGAAGAGGTATATCGTTAAAAATGGAATAAAGGGCGCTTTCTTAAAATGACATAAAAAATCCAGGTCGGTATTCAAAAAGATGAAGTTGATAATGGTAACTCAATCGCGAAACGTCGGATTTAAAATTTGAAAATTAATCGTCCAAGTTGATATATAAGCCGCTTTCCAGCTGACGCTTTTGAGCACGCAATCGAGCTTTTGCGCGCGCAAATGCTTCAAGCGCGTGTTCGTGTTCCAGCCGTACTGCGCTTCGAGAGCTGCTAAGTTTTGCGTTTCAAACACAGAACACTGTGCTGCACCGTGCTTGAAGCACACAGCTGGAAAGCGGCTATATACATACAGGTAGTCAGGGACAATTTATCCGATAGGACAATTAGGTCATGTCCTACGGGCCACTGAGGATGGAAGGCCAACTGTTGGACTTTAAAATATAAAAGCTCACTATATTAAAAACATCGAATTGTTTAGTAGCAGGATTAGTACATATTTCAATACTCTTTAATTCTTATCATTTACACTGCACAAGTACATTTGGTTTGGCCAGAGTGCACTGCCTGACATCACGATGCTCTGGAATCGCTCCGCTCGCTCCATCGAGCATCAATCCGGAACACGCCGTAAAGTCACCGAGCTGCGCAGACTCGCCGTCGCGTCAAGCGCAGCACGGGCACATGGGCACGTGGCAACTGGCAACGACTACAGCAGGAACCTGTTATGCCTCCTTCTCATTTGTGCGAAATTCGGTCTTTTTGCGCGAAATTCGCTCTTATTTTGACATTGCTTCGAAAATTTGAAGTTTTATGTGTGTATCAAACGTCAAATTGTTGAAGTAATGTCAAATAAGAGCGAATTCGCGCAAGTGAGAATTAAGCTTAAAGCTACATCCTCAATCAATCTGGTAGCGAAGTGGCACTTCGGCACGCGTGCTGGGAATTTGATACCCATCCTCAATGCTGTCAATTTTCAGTCTGCTGTGCGTGTAGTACGGCCACGAACCGTGCGTCCAGTATTTTTATCTGAGTTCTCCGAGCATAAATTTATCGTTCGTTTATTTAAAAAGTGTACTCGGTGCAGGCTCATTCATGTCCGATTATTAAAATTTTGAGCCTTCTGAGTTCTGATACAGCGTTCAACTGCTCTGTGCGCTCGCTGGTCACGTGATTACAGCTCCACTCTGCACGCTCTGCTCTTCGAGCAAAATAACGAACGCAAGTAGGGATGGCAAAATAAAAAAATCGATATATCGAATCATGTGATATATCGAAATAACATATCGATACATTCGATATATCGAACAAAAAACATCGATATTTTGAATATATCGATATATATTTTATTTTTCTATTTTTCTACAGGCGTGCAAAAACTGCTTTTTTTCTGCTGGCATTTTAGGCCATGAAAATATCACTTTTCCGCACTAGTGTGGAAAAGTAAAATAATTATGCGATTTTAGGTTACCCTGATACTTTCATGTCCTAAAATGCGTGCCAAAAAGTGCTTTTCCGCACGATCGTAGCAAAATAACGTTCCATAATCATACGGTAAGTCTCTTTTCCTCATCCTGTTGGTACGTACACGCTTTAACTGATGTTTTTTTTATTTTAGCCGCCATTGCCATCTGTCAGACTGTCACAGTCAACAAATGAACTATGCGCATGAGCCAAGAATTATTTTGAAATTTCCGATATATCGAAAAGATTATATCGATATTTTTTTCGATATATCGAATGTGAAATATCGATTAAAATATATCGATATATTGGAGTAATATATCGATATTTACAAAATATCGATGTATTTTTGCCATCCCTAAACGCAACGATAACCTGGGCTGCGTTCAGGAATGGCTAAAGCCAAGCCAAAATTGGCATTTTGCGTTCAAGTTCGGCTCCAACCTACGTGGTTCGGCATTACCAGGTGGAGGGGGAAAAGTAGGTTTTGGCATTAGCATTGCCGTCTTTCAACGCACCCCAACAACCTGAATTATTTTTTACCGTACTGCACGACATATAGTCCCCAGTACATCGACCCTAAAATTTTGTAACTCATGTACACGCCCAACTTCCGGAGCGGCTTCATAACACCAAGTCGGACAATATTTTTTATGTCTCCACCCTGGGCGATGGGACATTGCTGCGCTAGCTCTTCGTGAAGTTGTCGTTCTGATGTCCCTAAGGAAGTTGATACATGTATGTCCGACAAAAATAATTATGAATAACAATGTAATTTTAAAATATGTATAGTAAATGGCGGACAAATAAAATAAGTATTAAAGTCAGTCGGACAACAAAAGTCCTTTTGATCAATTTCTGCCGAAATTCAGGATCTTCACTTCTGAGATTGCACAAAAAACACGACTGAATATCCATTCTTTCTCACACGCGTGGTTTTGAATGACCGTTCACTAAATAATTTCCGTTAATACTTGGAGAACTATCAAAAAAACAGATCAGGGAATATGACACAGGGCCCCACAGGTATTTGACAAAGTAGGTAAATAATAAACTGACTAATATGCACATTGCGTTAAGGCAAACTAATTTTAATTTTTTCATTGATTGTCTCAAATTTCTTGTCCGACAAATGTGATATCGTTAATGTAATGTGAAAAACTGTCGATTGGTATTAAAAACACACGTACATGTAGCAACTTCCTTAGGGACGCCACAGCGACATGTTGAGAGCGTCGGACCCCCCCGAAGCCAAGTGATTTTTGTCCGACATATATCGTCGGTCTCATGACATAAGGCCCTATCTCCAAATAGGGCCAAAATGAGTTAAGTTCATAGATATGTTGTATTTAGTGTATACTTGTTTTTAGCCAAGGGTCTTATCTTGAAATCAGGTAATTTCGTTAAAAAAGTGAGAAAACACATGGCCCTATTTTGAAATATTAATAGTTTTATCACAGCATAAAGGTGAATATTGAGACACAAATGTTAACTACTATTTTGAAATGTGGTATTTGACAAAAAGCTTACACGAGTTGTTGTTAATAATTCCAAAAAAAGAGACCAAAAATCAGTATAGTTCTTTGTATTATATTGGCGTAAAGATATTAGTTTTCTTTTAATTGCTCTCCTGAAAACTTGTAAAAAACGAGATAGGGCCTTATGTCCTGAGACCGACGATATGATATCGTTAATGTAATACAAAAAACAGTCGATTGGCATTAAAACTACACGTACAGTCAACAACTAAAGTAATGTCCCTCGATGTGCGGCATCCGACTTCATTGCTACACAACGTGGCAACGGCGCTGCGCGTAAATGTTTACATTATTAAAATCCCTCCGATTTTTCATTGTTTGATTGTTTGGTGGATACGTATTTTTTTATATAGGATGCATTTTATTCAGTGTTTAATGTTAAAGTAGAAAAGCGGATGCTGATAATATTCACTTGCAAGTAAAATAATGAACTAAACTTTTTTACCTACTTGCGGTGGGACAACAAAAGGTTAGGATACTAAAGAGGCTCAATATATCTCAAACATTTTGCAACTTCATTGCTTTTGCAGTTTTCAAAATGCCCTCTGAGAAACTAAAATGTTATTAGTTTTGCATTACTTTACTAACCCATACCTATAAGTGATTACACTTTATTAAACTTAAACGGTCGCAATAAGGGCACATCCAATTAATTTTTTATCCAGATTTTATTGAATATTATTTCAATAAAAAAATTATTTATTAATTGCTATTCAATTTGACAATAACAACTCAAGTGGGTAGGTATACTTACCTATGTATTAAATAGTTTAAATAATTATTATGCACGAACGGGCGTAGAAGTACACTTTTACGCCCGCATTTCATAGCGTGAAGTTGTACTTTTACGCCCTAGGGCGCCTTTTATGCCGGCGGGCCTGAAAGTTCTAAAATTTCCAAAATAAGCAAAAAATTCGACGTCATTTTTTTTTAGTTTTTGCATTCCCATTGCTTAGTCCAAAAAATACCAAATTTTGTTCAACAAAACAAGCTTTATTTCAAATAATAAGAATAATGAAACAAGCAATAATAAAACTCAATCTAGTTTAAAATTGAAAATAAAATTTTTACAGTTTTTCAATTTTTATAACCGACCTTTTTTCACAGAAAAACACAAAAGAACTGTT